TCATCCCACTACGATGCTTCTCAGCCAACACGTATTGCTATACCTGGTATGGCTAGGCCGCCTTTGCCTATATACAACGACGTAAATTCTAAGGGTAGTTAGCATTATCCAGAATCCCGTCTAGGGCACACCGTATCTTCCTCCTGGACTTTAGGCAACCTGGAGAAAGCCCACGAGTTCACGTCGAGCTTATTGATTGCACGTGGAGGGATTTACCTGACTATTAAGCCGGCTGCTTTGGCTGCAGTCGCGAGAGCTTCGGCTGTTTTAAAACTTTTAAGGAACAATGCATCAGGGATAGGGACGGCAAAGTTAGTGGAAAAATGAGTAATTTCAAAATTGAGGGATAGGATGAAAATTGATGAAAATGTAGGGAAAAATAGTGGATTAAGGAATTTTGAAAAAAAAAAAAAGAAAAAAAAAATTCGAAGTCATTGACTATGATATAAAAGTGGTGTAGGTGGGGCTCCGATCGTTAGCTGAGAGAAGAAGAGAAGGTAAGATAGTGTCTTTACCGGTATGGATAGTCATCAGTGAATCGTGCTCTATCATCGTAGTCATCATCATTACGGTATCTGGCATCATCAGGATCCGCAATTCTCTGCGTTCTACCTTCCAGACTATCTAGTGCCGGTAATAGTCCAGCGGGTTTGGTATATGCCATTTTGAATTTCGCAGCCTCTCAAATTCTCTTGTAATCTCGTAGGTCGTATACTGGGTGTAAAAGAAGTGTTGGTTGCACGTTGGGACGTAGTACGAAGAGAAATAATTTTTTGAAAAAAATATTGATACGCTCACCCCTCAGAATATTTTATCGTGGATTATTGAAATTTTTCATGAAAATTTAAATCATTTTGTACACTCTGTATATACTGACACTCGCACGTGAGGTTACGTGGTCTGTATATCAAACTGCAGCTGGTATCGACCTATGACCCCGTCGTCACATTACCATCTCAGGCTCGAAATCTCTTGGCGAACAAGGGCACTGGTAGATATCAGGAGCGTAACTGATGTTGCGTGTACCCCACGTGTATTTCTTGTACGTCATTATCGGCTGATTACGAGAAAAAAGTTTGGCGGTGGTGTGTTAAAAAGAAATGAAGACAATTTTTCTTTGCAACAAATTGTCAGAAGAGCAACAATGAAAAAATTCGGAACTAACGTTAATAAAATTTCTAAAAAAAAAAAAAATTGTGACCTAAATAAAAATACGAGTATCCAAGATCGTGAAGAAAATAAATAAAGATAAATAGCAAAAAAAGAGAAAGAGTTTATGTAAGGAATTAGAATTTTTTGAAACGCTAATAAAAAGGGGTACGGATAAAAATTGAAGATACGCCCCTGCTGTATTTCTACTCGGCGAAAGAAGTGGAAGGTCGAGATCAAGAGTGGATTTGGTCGTGCGAGAACTTTTTTACGGAACAAGGAACAACTAAGAAGCAACACAGTCGGCAATGGCGTCGTACCAACATTACATAAATTTCATCGCGTGTTCGTTCGTGACACTCTCCCCCCCCCCCCCCCCGCCCCC